CGTAACTGGTGCCGCATAGCCTGCACCGCGAGGTCACAGTGCGACAGTCTTCGGCTTGGGTCCACGCTGGCAAACGCACACGTGTAATGAAGACCCTAACAGCGAGTCAACGCCGCCCCTGCTCTTTGCAATTGCCAATGTGGCCGAGCGTTGTTGCAAGAGCTCTGCCAAGCTATCGGGCCATGTGTTTCCCCGGCCCTTCTAGAAACCCTTCGGGGAACACTTGGGGGAGGATTGTGGGAAAGATCAGGAGGAGGAGGAGGAGGAGGAGGAGGAGGAGGAGGAGGAGGAGGTCGTGGAGGAGGTAGAGGAGGAGGAGCAGTTGGAGGAGGAGGAGGAGGAGGAAGAAGAGGAGGACGAGGAGGAGGAGGAGGAGGAGGAGGAGGAGGAGGACGAGGAGGCCCTGGAGGTACACTCTTGGGGCCTCCTTGGAGCTTCCTGGGAATCGTTTGGAGGTATCTTTGGGGCCTCCGTGGGCCTCTTGGGAGCCTTTGGGGACTTCTCGGAGGCCTCTTTGGCAGTCTTGGGGGCATTCCTGGCCCGTTTGACACCGTCGGAAGCCGTCTTGGGGGCCTCTCTGTGCCGACTTGGGGCCCTCTTGGGGAACTCCACGGCCGTCTTGGAGGCCATCTCGGGCGTCTTCGAGGCCTCTTGGGCCGTCTTGGGGCCCTCTTGGGGCCCTCTTGGGGCCATCTTGGTGGCCTCTTGGGCCATTCTGGGGCCATCTTGGAAGGCGTCCTGGGCGATCTGGGGGCGATCTGTGGGGGCTCTCGGGCCGTCTGGGGCCGTCGGAAGATCGAAAAGAAGGAAATGCCCAAATCATTCAAAAACCCAAGGCAAATCAATGACTTTGGCCTCTTCGGGTTTTCCTGGGGACCCTCTTGGGGCCTCTGTGGCCGTCTTGGGGACCTCTTTGGGACCTCTTTGGCCATCTTGGAGCCATCTTGGGCCGTCTTGAGGGCCTCTCTGGGCCGAATTGGGGCCCTCTCAGGGTGTTCCAGTGCCGTCTTGGAGGCCATATTGGACGTCTTGGAGGCCTCTTGCGCCGTTCTGTGGCTCTTGGGACCTTCTTGGGGGCCTCCTGGGCCGTTCAGGGGCCTTCTTGTTGGTCTCTTGGGCGATCTTGGGGCGACCTTTCGGGGCTCTTGGGCCGTCTCGGGCCATCGGAAGGCCGAACAGAAGCAAATGCCAACATCCTTCAAAAACCTTTCGGACAATCGATTATTTTTGCCTCTTCGGTCCTTCCTGGAGGACCTCTTGGATGCCTGGGTCATCTTGGAACCATCTTGGGTCGTCTTGGTGGCCTCCTGGCTTGTCGGACGCCCTCGGAAGCCGTCTTCGGACTTGGGGCCCTCTTGGGGTGCTACAGGGCAGTCTTGGAGGCCATCTGGCTGGCGATCTTGGGGCGACCTTTGGGGGCTCTTGGGCCGTCTCGGGCCGTCGGAGGACCGAAGAGAATCAACTGCCAACATCCTTCAAACACCTTTCGGACAATCAACGATTTTGGCCTCGCCGGGTCTTCCTGGAGGACCTCTTGGAGGCCTCTTGGGCCATCTTGGAGGCCTCTTGGGGACCTCTTGGGCCGTCTTGGAGGCTTCTTGGGCCGACTTGAAGGCATCTTGGACCCTCTTGGGCCGTCTAGGAGGACATCTTGGACCATCTTGAGGCCGTCTTGGCCGTATTGGGGGCATCTTAGAGACCATCTTTGACCATCTTGGCCATCTTGAAGGCCATCTTGAGCCATCTCGAGCCGACGAGAGGGGCACCCCAGCCGGACGGGCCGAAGTCCCAGGGAGAGTTCTTGTCGAAAAGGATCAAAACAGGATCTAGCACGCCAGTCACCCTTGTGGCAAGCCAACAGGGGGCGGCGGATCGAAGACGCCTACGGCGAATCACCGCCGCCCCCTGCCTTGTTGGAAGCGCCTGCGTGGCCGAAAGTTGGGTTTGAGCTTGGCCAAGCTATCGGGCCACGCGTTCCCCGAGTGGGTGTCGAAAGCCTTCGGGGAACACTGGGTCGGGTGAGCTATCGGACCAGGAGGTTTCCGAGCTTTCGGGGCTCCTGGAGGACGTCTTGGAGGGGTATTGGGCCGTCTTGGAGGCCTCTGGCGGGCCTTTTGGGCAGTCGAAGGCCATCTTCAGGCCATCTGGGTCCGTCTTGGGTACATGTTGGGGCCACCTTCGCTGTCTTAGAGGCCTTGTTGGCCGTCTTGGAAGCACCTTGGAGGCCATCTTGGCCGTCTTGGAGGCCATCTTGGGCGTCTTGGGGGCCATCTTGGACCGTCTTGGGGCCCTGTTGGGGCCCTCTCGAGGGCCTCTTGGGCCGTCCTGGGGCCGTCTTGGAGGCTTCTTGGGCACTCTTGGGGCGATCTTGATGGCCTCTTAAGTAGTCTTGGGCCGTCGGAATCCGAAAAGGAGCAAAAGCCCAAATCCTTCAGAACCTATGGGAAATCACTGATTTTGACCTCTTCGGGCCGTCCTTGAGGACCCTCGAGGACCTCTTCGAGGCCGCTTGGGCCGTCTTGGAGGCCTTTTGAAAGCCTTTGGGGGCGTCTTAGGCCGTCTTAGAGCTTTCTTGTGCGAACAAGGAGGCATCTTGGACTCTCTTGGGCCGTCTTGGAGGCCATCTTGTGCGAATTTGGAGGCCGTCTTTGACTATCTTGTCCATCTTGGACGCCATCTTGGAGCCGTCTGGAGCAGGAAAAACCTTGGCCACCACCTTTTGGGCAGTCTTTGGGTCCTTTCGGGTGGCCGGCGGGACGGGCCGACGCCCCAGGGAGTTTTTCTAAAAGAACCAACACCGAACGGATCCAGCACGCCGGGCACCCCTGTGGCAAGCACAGGGGGCGGCCGTTTTAGCGGCCTTCGGCCCATCCCGCCACCGTGTCTCGGTGGTGGGTCAGAAGCCTCATGGATGTTGGTTGCGATCTAGCGGTTTGCCTCTGGGGGGCCTCTGGGAGGCAGTTTTGAAGACTCGTCGGGCCCTTTTGAAGCCTCTTGGGGCCTCTTGGGGGCATCTTGTGGGCCTCCCTGGTGATGCTGGGCGGCCTCTTGGGGCCTCCTTGGTGATGCTTGGCGCTCTTGGGGCCTCTTGGGGCCCTCTTTGGGCCTTCTGGGGGCCTCTTGAGGCGCAAGGCTTGAATTTCAGGTTCGGGGTCCCCTTCTTGGGCCCCTTTTGGAGCCGTCTTGGTGCCCTCTTGGGCTGTCTGGGGCGTCTCTTCAGCCGTCTTAGGGCCATCTGGTACCATCTTGGGGCCCTCTGGGGGGCCTCTGGGGCGGTCTTGGGGCGCTTTTGCGGGCCTCCTGGACCGTCTTGACGCGTCGGGAAGCGAAACAGACGAGAACGCTAAAACCCTTCAAAAACCAACAGAAACAAAACAACGATATTGGTTTCTCGAGCCCCTCGGGAAGCCTCTTCGAGGCCTCTTGAGGCGTCTTGGTGGCCTCATCGGCCGTCTTGGGTCCCTCTTGGGGGTCTTGGGGCGATCTTTTGGCGTCTCATGGCCCTCTTGGACCGTCTTGGGAGCCTCTTGAGGCCCTCTTGGCCCGTCTTGGGGCCGTCCTGGGCCTGAAAAGTGGATGCGAAGAGACGCCAGGAACCGAAGGGGGCACGCTCCAAGGCCCGGCAGATGTGGCAATTTGGGCTCCGGGCCCCTGGGGACCCTTCAGGACTGAGGACTGAGGCTCAGGGGATGCGGCACAGGACCTGACGACACGCCCACTCCGTGGCCAACAACACGGTGGCGGATACACACATATAGATGTGTAATGTAGATCTGCATATCCATATACACATGTATGTATATGTATAGGCGTATGTGGAAACGTGTATGCATATGTGTTTGTATATGTATGTGTAATTGTACGTGTATGTGCATGTGCTTACGTATCTGTAAATGTACATTACAGGCATATGTAAAGTGTTTGTGTATGTATGTGTATATGTCTATGTATACATAGATTTATGTGTGTATATACACACGCAGTGTCTAGCCAGCGTGGGCCCTAATATGTGGGTGACTGCAGTAGTGTATGTATGGTCTGCAAGCTATGTCCTGCCATCTATTTGGTATGAGCTAGGGGGGTGAACGGTATGCGGTGCAAGCCATGTGGTGTAAGCAACAACGTGCTGAACATGTTGTGTGCGTTGGGGGTAAGGTGTGTGAGATGTGCGCCACGCGGCGTCAGCTATGTCGAGTTCTGAATGCGGAGGCAAATATGCGGTGTCATCTCTGTTGTGCAAGCTACGTGGTGCAAAGGACGTGGTGATACTTCGGCGCACGGGTCGCCCACGAACGCCCGCAGGGCGGCACGGGCGGCAGCGTGGCGCAACGTCGGCGGACCCACCCAGCGCACGGGGGCGCCAAGGAGCACCCACGAGGCGGCACGGGCGGCAACGTCAGGTGCCTCGGGCGGACCCACCCAGCGCACGGGGCGCCAACGAGTGCCCATAGAGGCGGCATCGGCGGCGACGTCGCGCAACCTCGGCGAACCCATCCAGCGAGGTTTAATAAGCACCGCTTGGGACGCAACAACACACACGTGTACGCACATGTAGCTGCCACATGTTCACTAGGTCGATCCAGAGGGGCACTATAATGGGAGTCCCCATGCTTGCGTGTCTGGCTTGCTGGGCTCAGCATGAAGCCCGCTTCAACTGCCACTCCACCAACGTCGAGTTGTGAGGGTCCTCCCTGGCGCACGTCCGCGTGAGTTGGCACGCGTTTGTGCGTGCGTTCGGTTCCCCTCCACCAGATTAAGCCGTCATGGGCAGCCCGGCGAACGGCTTCACATTCTCTTGGGCATCATGCAGGGTGTGCGGAACGTGCCACCACGCTTGTGGGTAAGATCTCTTCGTCGTTTTGCACTATGTACTAGGATTATCTTCGTTCTCCGCCACCTCTTCCCGCTTTGACCCCCACTCCCTCTCTTCAAACTCCTAGTCCCTCTCCCGCTCCACCCCTTCCTCAAATCCTTCGTCCCCCTATCAGCATGTGGGTCAGGCGGACACAAACAGCAACGTGAACGACCTGAGCCAGATCATGCGACCCCACCTCAGGTCGCCCCCCTCCCCGCGAGGAGGGCGGGGACAGGCAGGGGAGGAAGGTGGTAAGCGCAATAGTAGTGGAGGATGAGGAATGAGAGGGGGCGGCATTGGATGAGAGGGAAGGAGGAGGGCAGGAGGGAGAGAGGCATGGCCATGCTCTGGGAGACCCTGCGCAGGCTCTGTGGTGTAGGCACTTTGGTGCACATGCGACGCGGTGCACACAGATGCACCGGTGCGGTGTACGAAGGCATTAATGTGTACACGCGCGTCGCGTCGTGGTGCGCATGGCTGCTCTGCTTTCCGAATCTTGGTTCCGTTGGGACCCTCGAGGGGTACACAGGCTTAGTGGCGTACACAGGCGCTGTTGCGTACATGCGTTGCGGTGCACACATACACACATGATGTTGAAGCAGCAGTTGTGGTGCACACAGGCGTTGAGGTGTACGCAAGCGTTGCGGGGTGTACGCAGGCCGTGTGGTGTACACGGGCGCTCTGGCTTACACAGGCGCTGCGGTACACACAGATGCGCTTTTTGGTGCAGCAGCAGTTGTGGTATAAAAGACGGTTGTGATGCACACGATCGTTGTTGTGTACGCACGCGCTGTAGGGCACGCAGGCAGCATGGTGTACATGGGCACTCGGGTGTGCACCAACTCTGTGGTGTGCACAGTCTGCAGCAGCAGCTGTGGTGGGCGCTCAGGAACTGTAGCGTAAACGTGCAGCGTGGTGCACACAGGCACTTTGGCGTGGTGCAGAGGCACTGTTGCGCACGCAGGCCGCGCGCCCCCCCCCCCCCCCCCCCACACTCCCCTGGCGAGCCCACGGGGCGATCAACTGCCAGGGGAGGGGGACGACGCACCCCTGGCGCCTCAGGGGGGACGTCGAGTTATGCACCCCCTTCCCCCCGCCCCCCTCTCTAGCGGACGCTATCCCCACAAACTCATTCTCTCTTCCCGCCCGTGGGAGCTTGTTGGGCGCCGCGTGCCCTGGCTGGCGTTTCGATTGAACCACATAGCTTGCTCCACATGGGTTGCACCGCTCACATTGCACCAGCTGCCAGCACCTCACATGTTGCACGACACAGGTTGTACCAGAAGTGTTGCACCACGCAGCCTGCACCACATATCTTCTACCGCATAGCTTTAGCACGCACCACGCAACTTGCAACACACAGCTTGTACCACATAGCTTGCACCACATAGCTTGCACCATATAGCTCGTACCACACTAACTGCACCATCTAGCTTCCTCCCCTCATATTGTACCGCATAGACTGCACTAATTACGTAGTTTACGCATCCAGATGTCAATACTTCCAGGGGTCCACGCTGGTAAACATAAGTCGCCCATTGCCCCAGACCACATAAAACATATAACATAAGCCGGCCTCCCTCGTGGAGGGTGTCTGGCGGCCTATAGCACGTGAGGTTAGAAGTGGCAATGAGTACGATTGGTTCGTGTCGACTCGACGCGGTGGGCAATGACGCCAGCGGGGGCGTTCAATGTTGAACCTTCTGGGGGCCCGTTCCGGGCTCCAGGAAGCGCAGACAATAACACACGGACCATGTGGTCGGCCGTAATTTGGAATTTCTTCTTTTGGAGATCGTTCAGGGTTGCACGGTTTTCGCGGTGTCAGACACCTGGACCATGCCGCCAAAGCAGAGTTCGCCGTAGTCTTGTGGCTGCGTGAGAGAGAGGACTGGGAGTCCGATGGGATTCTGGCGGGGAGGGAGGGGAGGGGAAGGGCGAGGGGCCCGCGGGAGGGAGGGGCGGGGAGGGGAGGCAGAGAAGGGCGAGGGGTGAAGGGAGCCAGCGGGGATGGAAGGGGCAAGGGACTGGGAGAGAAAGAGGGGGGGAGGGCGCCTGGCCCGCTCCCCCCCGCCAGGTCCGGGAGCACCTACATGTCCTCCGCGGGGCGCGCGCTGTCGCCGAACCTGCCCGAGAGGCGGGCCCGCCCGCCGCGCGCAGGGCAGGGAGCGGGAGCACGGGCAGGCGAGGCCTCGAGCCCCTCGGAGCGAGCCCGCCTCTCTTCTCCCCCCCCATTGCAGCGCCCTGCGGGGCCGCGCGCCGCCCTCCGGAGGGGAATGTGCTCACCCACCCCCTTCCTCGGCCCCCGCAGGACGAGCCCCTCCTCCTCCTGCTCCCCTCCTGCTCCTCCTCCTCCCCTCCTCCTCCTCCTCCTCCTCCTCTCTCCTCCCTCCCTCCCTCCCTCCCCCCTCCCACCCTCCCTTCCCTCCGTTCCCTCCTCCTCCTCCTCCTCCCCCTTCCTCCTCCCCTCCTCCCCTCCTCCCTCCCTCCTCCTTCCTCCTCCTCCCTCCTCCTACTCCTCCTCCTCCTCCTCCTCCTCCTCCTCCTCCTCTTCCTCCTTCTCGACCCGGAACCAGATGTCGGAGACGGTTCCGACTTACTTGGTCAAGACCCTGAGCCAGTGGCTCCCGACAGATTCCAGGCGAGCGAGGCGGTCGGTTCAACTTCGTCTCCTCCTACGACTGCTCCGTTCGCGATCACCAGCGACACGTGGGAGTACGCCAAATTGGGACTGTCTAACGTCGGATCTTGGCCTCACGCCGTTCCGAACCGTCGCCACGAACCCCAGCTGGATCCCAGGTCCCAGGAGCCCCCTGGCCAGGAGGCCCGGCCGTCAAATAGCTCTGCTGCGCCAACAAATAACTGGCTGAAGCAGCGAACCGTCCTGAGTCTTGGGACCTCTGACGCTGCCCCCAGCGGGGGCTCCTGGATGCATCGCGATCCCACGCCCTCTCCCACGCCCTCTTACAAGCCTCCCACGGCAGAGGCCCCACCAGAGATATGGGTACGAGATGAGCGATGGCGACCGCAGACTTACCGGGAGCGACCTCAGATTGTGCAGCAGATGGCGACTCTCTACGGCAGGTGGTTCACTACATTGGAGTTTGCAGTAGTGGAACATTCGGAAGTACCATCGTATCAACGAGACGGCTTTCGGGGCAGGGCGAAAGGGTTTGGCATCAAATGGAACAAGAGCACGGCAGCACCAGGACGGCCTCACCATCACAATCCAGAGGCAGACTGGTGGGCGATTACCCACACACACACGTGATTGCGTCAACGGCCTGGTCAAACATATGAAGGACCCCGGACAGTTGGCAGAGAGAAAGCAATATTTTCAAAACGAGTCCAGCAAATCCACGGCGTCAGCAAGAATAAGAAGGTCGAGACCACGAACCATTGGCAGCAGCACGCGAACGACATCTTCAGGCCAGTCAAGCAGGAACGCGAGGACGTGATCGAGCTTACCACTGAACTCGCAGGCGAAGTTGCACGACGGGCTTTAGCAGATGGGCGCAAGGGCTTCATTGCGTGGGCGCAGGACATATGGAAGAAGACGCCAGGGGAATTACATCGCTGGACAAAGGACACCCCGCCACCCCGCTTGGAGGAAATGATATCGGGCACCACGGTGGCGGACCCGATACTGATTATGCAGCATAAGAGCGACACGTGGGCGAACAAGTGGACACCAACACCTCAGAGGCAGGAAGCACTCATGTCAGCGCTGCAGTTATGTCGTCAGCGAGCTCAGCTAGAATAACTCCCCGAGCTCGGGTTGCAAGACATGAGCGCGGCCACTAAGCGGAAGGGGTAAAGAAAGCTCGAGGCGTCGACGGCATAGGCCCCCTGGACATCGAGCGGCTCCCCGACCAAGGCAAGCTCGCGCACCTGCACATCATTCACGAGTCGGAACTCAACCTCATGTGGCCCCTGGCAGATCCTCGGCACTATCGGCGCTATCGCAAGCAAACCAGCAGGAGGTGACCGAGTTCTGGGGCGACTGCCTATGACAGTACGGATCTGGCCCCGAACGCGGTCAGGCGCAGTGGAGTAATGGACACAGCAGCAAGAGGATCACTGGGACACTGCGCCCAGAGGTTCGTCGGCGTTGAGGGCGGCGCTTTTACGTGCGACCCTGGACGAGGCAGGACAAGCCATGGGGATCGCGCACGCAGGACTCTTTGCTGACATGGAGCAGTTCTACGATTATCTGGATCTTGGTTTGTTGATAAATGCTGGCATTCAATTGGGATTTACACCGGCTGTCATGGCATTGGGGGTGGAAGCTGTCTTGGGGCCGAGGCGCTTCAAATATACTGATTGGATTGGACCCAGAATCGGCCCGACCAGCTCCATTGTCGCAGGATCGGCTCAAGGCATCAGATTTGCAAAAGTTCATTTGTTCCCTCCCCTTGATGCAGCCCAGGAGCGCGCGCAGGCAGCTGGGCTTTGGACGTGCATCGGCGACGCCGTTGGCAGAGTCGAAGGCCCCGAAGAGGTAGTGGAACACAAGATGGCGGAGCTCGCGGACGAGTTTACTAAACAGACAGGAAGCAGGAATCTCAAGATTTCACCGAAGGCAGCACTGGCGGCATCCAACCCTCAGCAACGACGACGGATTTGGAACAGGTTAGCACAGCGAGGGCTCCCAGGCAAGCACCAAGCGGACATGGTCGGCCTGGGCGCCGACGTCAGCGGCATTGGCGAGCGTTTTTTAAAACAAAACAGCAACAAGGTAAGAGCGCGAGAAAGGAAAGCCAAGCAGCGCGCGGGCAAGATCTTTCGGCTACGGCGCATGGCCACCGGCGTCGCGAAGATCGCGCAGGGCCTCTTCTCGACGGGTGCGGCACCTCAAGCTACGTTCGGGCATGAGGTCTGGGGGGTAGCACCCAGTCGGGCACTGCGCCTTCGACGGATGGCCATGCGATCGGCTGCGGGACTAGGCCCGGGGTGTTGTTTATCTACTGGAATGGCAGTGGCGGTGGCATATCATCTCACAGACCCTGGTATATCCCCACGACGGCAGCTGGTTAGCGAATGGCTGCGCCAATGGCTTTTCCACCAGAACTTCACAAGCGAATGCGGCAGATCTGGGCACCGACGTACCGAACCCTTCTCCGAGCTGGCACTACGGTGTGGCGTAAGGTTCATGGACCCGTCGCCGCTGTGCAGGCGATTCTTAGCACGGCAGGGTGGGGGCCAGTTCAGTCAGCACTGGGAGATCTCGAGACCGACTTGGACGCGGCGAGGTGGAAGCAAGCGGCCGCGCACCTACATGGCGAGGATTTGCACAATGGAGGCGACATCTGGCATATCGGCAGGGAACAAAGCGGCGCTCGGACAAGGCTGATTGGCGCGATTGGGCTCTCAACAACGTCGTCGTTGGAGGTGGACAAGGCCACGAGTTCGACAAACCCGAGCCGGCTACGAATGCGATTCTGAATCTGCGGTCGGTGCAAACAGGAGCCAGGTACCCTTCTCCATAGTATCTACACATGCCCTTGTAACAAGCGGAGCGAGGCATATGAGGAGACATATTGCCCTGTAACGAAAGCGCTGGCAAGGGCGGATGCTAACCCAGCGCGGCGGTTGCGAGGCATTCCGCCGAAAGAGTTCACGCGCCCGGTCGTCTCCGACTTCGGGAGGCAGGACTACGTCAGGTTTGGTTCCTTCGAGCAAGCCAGACCCCCTGGCGCAGCGCATCTCTGGAGGCGGATCGGGGGGGGCACGCGGAGCAGATCCCGAGTGCAGAAGGGTCGGCGTCGGAGTAGCAGCCATGCAGATGACCGACGGGGAGTGGAACATGACAGCCGGCACGATGGCAGATCTACCTGGGCGGCGGCAGACGGTGCCGAGGGCAGAGCCCGCAGCTTTCGCGATCGCGACCGAAGAGACTATTGGACATATCGCCTACGTCACGGACCACTACCCGTTGCTCAACGCTTGGAATAAAGGCAAAGCACGAGACCCAGCGGTAGGAATGCAGATATGGGCACGCATCAAGCGAGCCATCATGGTGAATGAGCAGCGGCACATCGAGGTGGTGCGAGCACCTTCCCATCAGGGCGGCGACGAGGCGGAAGTGGTCAACCCGAGTTTCGCGGTGGGCAACTGCTTCGCGGATGCACTGGCGACAGTGGCAGCAGAGGCGTCTTGGGAAAGGGTACGTCAACCGCTGCCGCGCACGGACGAGCGGGGCGCGATTTGCGCCAAAGTTCGACTCCGAGCACGACGAGCGCTGGCCGACTCAGCGGACGCTGATCCTTGGTGCGCCGAACAACCGTCGACAGCCAAGCTCAAAGTAAATATCGGTAAAGCGAAAGTCATGGCCGAGAAGTCAAATCACGACATGGCCAAGCTAAAGCATAAGTGGTTTTGCACGGCTTGCAGGCAGCGCGTTACCGCGGACGCCCTGCAGGAGTCCGCGGACACCGTGCGAGACCACCTTCGTCACCGCCAGTGAGATAGTCGACGTCAAGGGTGGTCGCATTACGGGCAAGTGCAGTCTCCATCTGACACGCACTGCCAGTGCATGGACGAAGTCCAGCCCTTTGTTATGTGCCAAATGCGCGGCGCATGGCACTACGATAGGCAAGGGTTTGAAAGAGAAGTGCGAGGAGGTCAGGGCGCGTTGAACTGCATTCGCGATGGAAGATACCCTGGTTACAAAGGCCCGCCGAAGGCGGCCCTGGAAGCATAAGAAGCCAGGCTAGTCAGGCAGATGCACGATCTGGAACATCTTGCTCCACGTGTACCGCAGCAACATATTCGGCCACCGCCACCGCCAATTGCCGAGCCACCTCCTCCACGTACACGACGTCGAGTTATGAGAAGGCTTCCAGGACATGGGGTCGCTCATGCACGGGGCGGAGCTTCTCGAGTGGAGCAAGTTGCGTCGCCACATCCAGCAGGTGTAGTTGACGCAGTACCTGGTCTGGACGCAGATCAAATGCAGGTGTTTGATTCAGACGACACTGATGTGCAGCACGACCGTGGCGAATTTGTCGGAGAGGCCGAGTCCAGATTGCAGCAGGCTGGACAACCACAAATATTTGCAGCAAGTTCATCCTCGACGGCATTGGTACAGCCCGCTGGAGAGTATATTGAACTGGAGTTATTTCACGACGATGAGGAGATGTACCCGTCGTCTGCCAGCGACGTGTTAGGGGCTCCGCCTTCCGAGTCCCTCGCCGCCGCCGCCGCTCGCCCGCCCGTCGTGAACCCCAGTGTGCCCGTGACCCTGGCACCTGGGAGTGGGCCCCCACCGTGCCCAAATGGCCGACGAGCGGCGGTGGAAGTGAATGGATGATGTGATTCCACGGGCTCGCCGTGTCGTGCAGGGATTTCTGTGCCAGCGGGAGGTGGCGGGGCTAGCGGCGTGCCTAACCTAACCTAATCATCCTTCTCGACCCCCTCAAAATGAACCCCCGTCTTCTCTTCCCTCTTCCAGGGCCCTGTGCTCCGTGAGCCTCATCATGCGAGGGGCTGCGGCCCCACAGCGCGCCGCCCTCCGGGTCCGTCGCCTGGGCGTCTGTCCCTCCGTTCTCTTCCACGAGGTTCGGGTCGCGCTTGGGAGGCACGAGGAGCAGGATGACACGAAGGAGGATGACACGACAGAGAAACCCCGGCGAAGAAAGACGATGCTCAGCCGCAGCATTGGCTGATACGAACGAAGGGTGATAGGAAGCAGGAGCAGAATGATACGAAGGAGGAACGCGATGATACGAAGGAGGATGACACAGCGGCGGGACACTGGCGAAGAGGGACGATCTTCAGCCGCAGCATCGGCCTGGCCCGTCTGGTCCGCTCTGCGGTGTCCGTTCACCGGCCCGTGCCGTTTCGGTAAGAGATCGTTCGTCGTGCCAGATTTCAAGAGGGAAACAGCCCACAGACACATGGAATCGTCGATCCCCCAGAAAATATTGGAAACTATGGGAAGTGTAAGGAGACAAAAACCCAAAACATCTGGGAAACTATGGGGATTCCTGGTATCTGTGCCTGTTTCAGTTTGAGTGCCCCAGGGCCCCTTCACAGATCTGTTGTCGTTGGATTATCGTGCAACCTCTTGGTTCCCGTGCCTGCCGCCGTCTGCCGCCGCCTGCTGCTGCTCTGCTCCAGCGTCCGAGCTGCACTCGCGGGTGCCGACTGTGTCCGTCCTCTTGGTCGGCTCTTTATGACGCTGCAGATTTGAGTCGGACCTGTCCTTTTACAGGAGGAGTGCTCAAAAATAGTCAAAACATAATTTGGGGACGATGTTTTCAATTTTTCGCCCCAAATCCTCCTGTATAGGGGGACAGGCCCGACCTAACTACAGATGGTGCGTCGTCCCACTGCTCCACGGTGTGGTCGTTGATTCATCTTGCAGGCGACACGGCAGGCTGTACTCTGGGCAGGATGACGCCGCGGTCAACGACCTGAGCCAGATCATGCGCCCCCATCTGAGGTCTTGCTGCTCTTGCGTCCCCCGAGGCACATCATGCGTTCCCGTCATGCGTCCCCTGAGACAGATCATGCGTCCCCATCAGCCGTCGATTGTTTCTTGTGTGAATTTTTCCCTCCTGACCTCCTGGCTTTTCCTTTGTCGATCCCGTCTGGCCGAGGGAGGGAGGCATGCGCAGCAGAGCGGGCACCTAACTGACAGAAGCTCTTGCACAGGGGTCTGCACATTTGTATTCGGGATTGCGGGTGTGGAAGCGTGGAAGATTTGTAGAGGATGCCCCCGCCAGGAAATCATACTTCGCGTTCGTTTCGCGTGTGTGGCGCGCATGCGGGTATGTGCTTGCGTTTACCGCGCTTTTCGCGGATGCCGGGAAGGTGTCCTCTTCCTGCTACGCCGGCGGACAGAGCTTGTCGGGCGTCGTGGGGTGTGTGGTGAGTCGCGGTGTGCTGTAGTCGACTAGATGTAAGAGTGACCTTTCGCCGGAGTGACCTTGGGTGCGGGCACGGATGGGTCCCCAGATGGCTGAAAACGAAGCAGGAGCAGCGGCTTGCGCGCCCAGGTTTGGTCCCCACCAAAGGTCACTCTTACCCAGAGTCACTCTTGCGTGTAGCCGATGTAGTGTCGCGGTATCGTGGTCTACCGGTCTGGTGGTGCCGTGCGGTGACGGTTTTTTGGTGTGCCGTGCTGTCTCGTGGCGTCGTGGCGCCGTGGTGTGGCCGTGTCGTGGTGTGGCGTCGGCGGTGTGAAAGTGTTCTCGTCCCGTCGTGTCGTCGCGTCGTGAGCTCTCGGGGTCGTGGTGGCGGAGCTGATGTCGCGGTGCCGAGGCGTCGCGGACCTCCTCTCCGTTTCGCCGATGCTCTCTGCCTTTTGATCTGGTTCGCTTCTACTCGCCTCCCACTATTTGTGCGTCACTTGTCTGCTCATCTTCTCCTTGCCGATCTCCCTCATGGTTGGTCCACTACTGAATTGGCAAATGCGCCTGGCCTCGCCGCATCCTGATTCCCGTCAATGGGGCCGTACGACTTTGTTCCCGATTCCTATCTGCTCATTCTTTATCTCATCAGTTGCCCTCACAACGCCCCCTCAGAGTTCACAAGGCCTGCAATGTGTATGCCATTACGCTGCTTTGCATCAGTACTTCATGCGTTGTTGCGTGCTTGGTCCTAAGCTATCCAATGCTCCATACTACCACCCATCAGCATCCACAGCCGCCCCCTGCGCGCGCGAGAGGGCGGATGGAGGAGGGTGGGGGAGAGGAGGAGGGTGGGGAAGCGAGAAGCGTGAAGGAGGACGAGGAGGAACCCTCTGGAGCCCCTTACCCTGAGATGCGAAGTCACGCCCAAATCGCTACATATCGCAGAAAGCTCGACCAGAGCCCAGGATCCCTTGCTGCTGCATTCTTCGAGGCGGATCAACCTGTGATGGTCCCAGGGCCCGGAGCAGGGCGAAAACGTCCAAAGTGGAACAGCATGCAACGCCCAGATCTCAGGGCCTCCGCAGCCCCTACAGGTCTGGCACCACCTTCGTGTCGTCCAAGGGCTCTCCCCTCCACGCCGCCTACGCGGGGTCGACGCACCTCTACGACTCCAGCACCTCGTGCCGCGGTGGCGGGAATCCTCTCCTCGCGCTTCGGGGATCGAGGGTCTTGCCTCGAGGGGGGAGAAGAAGGCCAGAAGAAGCCCAGGACGCATCAACGATGCTGCGACCCGAAGAAGAAGAAGAAGCAACGACATGAACATAAAAGCTGCTGGAGCTCCGCGCGGGCTTCTGGGCTCTGCGGCCGGGCCCTCCCGGCGGCCGCCGGGGAGGGGCGTCCCCGGCGCAGATCCGAGACACCCGCGCGGACCTCGGACAGCGCATGTTCCCTTCAGGCATGCACCCTCCCGTCCCGAGTCTCCTCATCTCGGGTCGGGCGAAAGGGGGGGGGATTGGGAAAGGGGGGGTACGAAATTTGCTGCATGCAGCTGGTTTCGGCCTCACCGAGGGGCCCATTTCTCTACATAGCCGCCTCTGGCGCCGGGAGGCGCCGGGAAAATCAGCTACGTGAGCTGATTTTCAACCCCCCCTTTTGCTATCCCCCCCTTTCGCCCGACCCCATCATCAGTCCGTTCAGACTGTGTTATCATTGCGGCGAGCGCGCCCCACGGCGCTGCCCTTCAGGCGAGACCCCGGCTGAGTAGGAACCGCCCTGCATGCCCAAGCAGAGCAATGTCCGCGCCCATCCTGCCGCGCCCTGCATGCCCAAGTAGAGCAATGTCCGCCCTGCATGCCCAAGTGGGAACCGCCCCTGCATGCGTCCGCGCCCATCCTGCCGCGCGAGCTGGATCGAGATCGAGAACTCCGCACGGGCCGCTGCAGAGCCCGCGCGCCGTCTCCCACCCCAAGCAGCAGCAACCCCAAAGTCGATCCAGAGCAGCTTGGACCAAGCTGCTCAGGATCGACTTCGTGTAGAGTGCCCCTGCGCTACACATTGTTCGTTTCGAATTCTTCGGAAGTTCTTGGCTTTTTTGGGGGGCCAAGATCCTTTCATTTCTAGTTGCTCTATCCTGGGCCTTTTCCTGGCCACGAAGGGGGCCAGGAGCAACTAGAAGCGCGCACAAGTAGACATGAGCACGATCAGACATGCACGACGTTCGGGCCTCCCAGATTGGGGTCCGAGCAGACGGGGTCGGAGGATTTGTGCCGCATCGCCGATGCATCGCCGCTGCGGCTCGCTGTGGAGCCCGCCTTTCTCCACGCCGACGGCGCCGAGGCATCGCTGACGTCGCCGATGCGTCGCCGATGCATCGCCGACGCATCGGTGATGCGGCGAGATCTCCCGACCCCATCTACACGACACGGCCCTCATCTGGGAAGCCTCTAGGGTTTGGAGCGACTTCTTGTTGAGTACCACTTTGCGGCGTGTGCCGAGTTCATTGGCTCGGTGCGCATCACGTACAGCGACGACATCCACGGCGTGCAGCTCGAGGTGCCCCCTACCGACGACCACCGCTTGCGGGTAGCGCGACTAACTCCCAATGATACAGTACCACCTACGCGAAGGCAGCCCGTGCGATGCTCACGTTCACGCGCGTCCGCTGCCTCCACAGGGAGGAGTTGCCATCGTCGACGTCGACGCCACGTCACATCGGGTCTTTATCAAATGGCATTCCAAGCTGGCCGACCACGCGAATCAGTTCCTCGCCATTTTCCGCAGTGGTGCAATGTCTACATCTACGCGGTGGCAGTGCCCCCGCCCGTGCAGGTACTGCAACCACCCCCACCCCTTTCTTTTTTTCGGAACTTGTGACAGGATTGCCCAGAGGTCAGCCGCGCCCGCAACTACATGGAGGAGGGCTTCAACTTCTGGGCTTCACAGCCCCAAGAGACGAGTAAATCCAATGTCCCCTGCCAGGCAGATCTGTCCGCCGTGACGCGCGCGAGGTTTTCGGCGGCGACGTGCGACTTGGCGCTCCGCATCCTCTACCGGGGACTCTGCGGTGAAGACGTCATCCCCCCCACCACACTCGACGTCGGAGGGTAGCCTAAGGACCTACCAGAACTGGACCACTCCAGAGTAAGGGTGTTCTACCGACCAGCGCGGGCGGCACTTTGAACACCCTCCGCCCTCCATCGCCACGGTTGTTGAAATTTTCCAGCGTTTGGATGACCGTCGTGCAAGTTTCTCCAGCGAAGCGCTCTGACCGTCTTAACGACGCGTCCCACGGTGCGACGAAGAGGATTTGCTGTTCACAAGGAAACTGGACTAGAATGGAGGCGGGGGAGCAGCTGCAGGAATAATCCTTCGCCATCCATGCTGCCCTGGGGTCCGTGCTTCCTGCGGTGACTTCCAGTGCGAAGGTGCTGCAAGTGCGCCCACGGGGGGCAGCGCGCTTAGCAAAGAAACCCCTAGACTTAACTCGGGTCTGTCCCTCTACAGGAGGAGTATGAAGATATTAAAACAAAAAGTCGGGGACGATTTTTCGATTATTCCTGGTTTTTTGGTTGAAGTTTTTCTGTGGCTTTTTATTTGTCGTCCAAAATCCGCCTGTAGGAGGACATGCTCAGCCTACTCCAAGTACCTCATGAATCGCTCCCCCCCCATAAAAACCGGACCCCCTCCAAATGCGACCTAATGTTCTGGACCCCCCCTCTTCGACGGGGCGCCTTCACAAACCGGACCCCTGAGCTCGAATCCGCAGAAAAAGCGCCCTAATCAACTGGACCTCCCCAGTTACAAAAAAAGGCGCCTTCAAAACCCGACCCGGGGGACGATTAATAAGGGATTTTGAGTAACCCTCGACCTTGGCATCGCTCGGACGTGTGCATTTTTTCTCGGCGAAAACCATCGAGGACCATCCTGGACTCCTGGACCATCCAGGAAAAAACATGCACGAAATCGAAAAATGCACGGGGAATGGACGTCCGAGCGACGGCAATCAGGTCAGACCTGAAGCCCTCGCATGGACGTCCTGGAGGCTCCGGAGGGAGCGCGCGGCCGGCGCCTCCCCGGTGCGAGGCGCCCCAGGCTGCGCCCCGCAGGCGCAGGCGCCCGGACGAGGCGCCTGGACGAGGCGAACCGCCCGTCCCAGGACGGCTCACAGGCTCGCCTCCTCCTCCTCCTCCTCCTCCTCCTCCTCCTCCTCCTCCTCCTCCTCCTCCTCCTCCCTCCTCCTCTCCTCCTCCTCCTCCCTCCTCCTCCCTCCTCCTCCTCCTCCTCCTCCTCCTCCTCCTCCTCCCTCCTCCTCCTCCTCCTCCTCCTCCTCCTCCTCCTCCTCCTCCTCCTCCTCCTCCTCCTCCTCCTCCTCCTCCTCCTCCTCCTCCTCCTCTCGTCCGGCATGAACTTTCCAGACGCCCTGGGGCAGGATCCCCCCGCCGTGGAAAAGGTTCGTGCCACACCCTTTTTTGCCCGTTGCCTGCGTGACCCAGCCCCTCCATCTCTGTCAGAGTGCACAATCCCATTCATGTGAATCAGTCTGTCGGGGACAACCTGATGCCATTTTTAGGGGAACCAAATATGGCATAAACATGAAAATTCTGAGGTCAGCGCGGATTTCTCGGATAGGCGCTGGACCCCCCTCCCTGGCGCGCGGAGCGCGCCAGGGGCGGCGCCGGAGGCGCCGCTGGGGGGCCCCAGCGCCGATCCGAGAAATCTGCGCGGACCTCCGAGTTTTTATGTTTATGTCATTTCTTGTTCCCCTAATCTTCGCCATTGTTGGACCATCTTTGGGGCAACTTGGGCAACCTTGGAGCCGCAATGGATAATGCTGGGTCCGTCTTAGGGCATATCTGGTGTTGGCCGTCTTGAAACCGTCTTCGGACTTATTGGGATGCAATTTGTAGCTGTGGTGCTCCGTCGTGGCCGTCCTGCAGCCGTGTGGTGAAATTCTCTCTCCTTTAGCCCCAGCGGCCACAGCTTGAGCTAATGGCTAACACTCGAAGCCACAGGCCACAGCTAGAGCGAACGGCTAACAGCTAGATGTGATGATGTCGGGAAGTAAACACAGCCAGAGGCACATGGTTTCAAACCCGCTGGTATCAATGTCAAGCACAGAGATAGAGTACCACATATTTGGATAATGTAGAGAACCTTCGGTGAAACACATTGAGGCGAAGGAACGGCGCCCGAGATGCACATGAGTGGGTGGAGGGAGGTGGAAGAGGAGGAGGAGGAGGAGGAGGAGGAGGAGGATGATGAGGAGGAACCGCGCGTGGTATTCGTCCAAAGCCCTGGCCTCCTTGCCCGCAGAAGGCCAGCAGCCTGCCACTGCATGCGTGTCCCGGACGTCACAGCTGTGGCTGGGCGGACTGGGCTCCGGATCGGGAGGCTCGGATCGGGAGTTGCTGAAGGTGCCCCTGGCCCAAGGTGCTCCCAACTTTTCTTCGCTCCATTTGGGAGCCCCGTGAGGGGTGCTCTGGAGGCCGTGGGGCTCTGCTCGGAAATCCTGGAGGCACTTCTAGGAACACCCGACCGCATGGGGGGGGGTCGAGAGCTCCGAGGGCCGTCGGCTCCAGAACGAAGAAGCTCGAGCCGGCGGAGGCCTTGCACGGGAGAGGCCAGGAAGGGGGTGCAGGTGAGCCAGCCGAGAGAGGGAGGAGAAGCCGGAAGGGGGGTGCAGGGCGGGGAGCGGGATGAAGTCGAGGTCTCTGCAGGCAGGTCCGTCGCGGCGCGCCGTCGAGCCCGCTGCCTGCAGCACGCTTCCGTTATCTGGTTTGTCTCCCCTTGGTGCTTCTGCGGGAGCGGCATCGCATCGCCTGATTCATTGCGCGACAGTGCATCGTTTGGTGGGATTTGTCAAGCCTCAGGTCGATCTCAGTCACTGCCGCAGCAGCAGCAGCAGCAGCGGAGTGGCGCAACTGCCGGCGTCGGGAGCGGGACCATCCTTTTACCAGTGGCGTGCCTTGGGGGGCTTTGCGAGTTTCGAGCGTTGGTTCTGCAAGTTGCGGACAGCTCTTTTCATCACCTCTCTCATTAACACCGATCCTGCCGCCTTGCGCGCTTAGCGCCCCTGCGACCGTGGGGAGCCCGAGCCCAGTTCCAGCAGCAGCCAGTGGAAGATCCGATAAAGAATTGTAGCTTGCTCAGACAGCATGCGGTCAGCAACGTTTGCTTAGCGTGTCGCTCCGCCAGCTCTGACCCACCACGCTCCGGCGGCGTTTTCGCGACATGGTAATTACGCAGCAGTCCCCGACCGCCCCTTCAGCCAGCATCTCTTGGTCCTTCCCTTCACCAAGGGCCTCTCCGAGGAGAGGAGGTCGTGGAGGAGGGGGAGGAGGAGGTGGAAGAGGAGGAGGGGGAGGAGGAGGAGGAGGAGGAGGAGGAGGAGGAAGAGGAGGAGGAGGAGGAGGAGGAGGAGGAAGAGGAGGAGGAGGCGGCGAAGGAGGAGGAGGAGGAGAGAGAGAGAGAGAGAGAGAGGTAGGCGGAGCAGCCTCCTCTCGATGCCTGCGTCTCTCCACGTGTCCTCTCTGGGCTCACCTCGAGCCTGCAGGGCAGGCGGGAGCTCGGGCCCTGCGCTCCCTGCCTCGGTCGGGCGCTGGCCGCCCCCCGTGGGCCTCAGCCTCCGCCGTCGGTGCCTGGCACCGCTCGGACGTGTGCATTGTTCTCTCGGCGAGGACCGTCAAGGAGCATCCTGGAGCATGTCGCAAAAAGATCAGGAGGGAAAGAAGCACACAGGCACAATTGTTGACGCTTCGCGAATCCCCACAAGCCCAACAATGCCCAGAGGAATTGCCTGGATCAGGGAAGTGGGCAGCACACAGAGGAAGCCGTTCTGAGACATCTTGGGATATCTTGAGCCATCTTGGAGGTCATCTTGGGCTCTCCCAGGCTCTCTTGGAGTCATCTTAATCAGTGCTCCCCCCCAAGAGGCTAACATGTGGCTAAAACCTTCGTGAAATCAATGATTTGGCATTCTCGCCGAGGCCTCTTGGAGCATCTTGGGTGCCTCTTAGGGGTCTCTTGGGGCCTCTTGGGGGTCTCTTGGGGGCCTCCTGGGGGCCTCTTGGGGGCCTCCTGGGGTCCTTTTAGACGCCATCGGGGCGCTCTGGGGGTGCATATTGGAGCAAATGTATCAAAGAAGAGCAGAGCTTTAATTAGCGTTGCCCCTCCAGACTGTCTAAAATCGCTTCCTGGACCCCTCTGGGATCGCTCTTGGAGCGCTCGTGGACGCTGTTGAGGCAGTCTTGAGGCTCTCTTGGGCCCCTGTTGGGGCCTAGTTGGGACATCTTGGCGCCATCTTGAGGCCTCGGATGGGCTTCGGAAACGAAAAAGTGAGAACACCAAAAACATTGATTTTCGCTAGGGTTTTGAAGCATTTCGGCCTTTTGAGGGCACTCTAATGATGCTCTTGTGGGTACTTGGAACCATCTTGGAGCGGTCTTGGAACGTGTTGGAGCGTCTTCTGAACCATCTTCAGGCATCTTGCGCTATCTTGAGCCATCTTGGAGGCGATCTTGGGCTCTCTGAGGCCCTCTTGGAGCCGTCCTGGGCCATCTTGGACGCTCTGACCGCTCCCCGCCCCTCCTGTCCAGGTCAGTGGGGAGGGGGTAGGGGGAGGGGTAAACCCCTCCCCGACGGGGAAGAGGGAGGGGTGGAAGAGGAAACGCCCTAAACCACCGACGCCCAGAGGGCTGGTGGGATTCATCGTCGATCTCCAGGAAGAGATAGGGGAACCGTTGCAAGTGGGGGGGAAGACACGAGCCCAGGAACTATGCAAGCATGTGGGGAATCCTTTCGATTGGTGTCTATTTATTTTGTGTCTCCCAGGGCCCCTTCAACAAAGCACGCGCGAAACCGAACACTGCACAGGGAGTGGACGTCCGAGCGCAGACCAGACGCGGCCAGGGGGGTCACCACCGAGGGGGCTCGCCAGCTCCTCGAGGGGGAGGGCCGCTCAGGGCCCTCGGGAACTCCTCGAGGGAACCACCAGGGGGCTCGCCAACTCCTCGAGAGGGCTCGCCAACTCCTCGAGGTCCCCCAAGGGGGCTCGCCAACTCCTCGAGGGAACCACCAGGGGGCTCGCCAACTCCTCGAGGGAGAGGATCCTCCGCAGCCCCCCCAGGGAACGTTCGAGATCGGCCAGCAGCGCCTCGACCTTCCTCGATCCTCGAACCCCCTGGTCTTGGCATCGCTCGGACGTGTGCGTTTCTTCTCGGCGAGGACCATCGAGGACCATCCTTGACCATCGAGCAAAAAAACACGCACGACATCGAAACATGCACGGGAAATGGACGTCCGAGCGACGGCAAGTGGTGGTGCCCCCTCCCGCCTGGCGTTGCCTGAGCAGGCGGGCGCGGGCGGAGAAAGGCACCCGCCGCGCCCAGTTGAGGCACGGCGTTTGCCTCCTTGGTGTCTCATCGCTAGCGCCTTCAAGCTAGCATCCGCAATCCAGCGTAGGCAGGTCGACAGCCAGCATTGCTAGACGTTGCATGGAACTCTGCCACAGTGTTCTCACCATCTTCAGCACTCCTCACGTTTCCCAGTAGGTTGGGCGGAGGCCCGTGCGTCCCGTCGTTGTCTCTTGGGGTTGCAAGGTTCAACGGTGTCGCTCTGCTGCGTCCTAACTCCTAACCTGTGCGTCAGTTTCGTTGCGTCTTCCGTTTGTCCGAACATTACAGCCCTTCTTTTGTTTCCGACGCGGGTTCCGCATGGGGTCCGAGTGGGTCCGACGCGGATTCGATGTTCGTTCTGATTCGACGTGGTTTCGACCTTAAGCAGCAGGGGCACCGCTAGCGGGTGCTGGCGCAGAGGGGGGTGAGCACCCCGACTTGCCCAAATCGTTCGCCGAGCGGAGCCTGGGGGGGCGCCTTGTCCCAGAGCAGATGGCTTTCCACTTCTCGGGGGTGTGTCGCCGATCGATCGGCGATGCGTCGCCGATTCCAGGCCGTGGTTTGCCACCCTGAGCCAGTCGTTCCCCCCAGCCGCGTTTCATCATTTTGGGGCGGGGCCTGAGACGAGTCGTCGGAGGTACTCGGTCCGCTCGTGCTGAAGGAGCACCGCGACCTGCGGAGGAGGCTGCGCAGGGAAACATGAGGATCGACGGTGGCGGATGGTCGCAACGCCGGAGACATGACTTGCACCCCCGAGTTATTCACGATAGCACCTCCTTTCTGCGACAATGCCATACCTACCAATGTGCCCCTCTCTGAACACAAGAGGCAGTCGTGCAGCGGTTCGACGGCGAGTCCGGGAGGGATGTTAGAGGGGGCGTGCCTTTTCCAGAAGGTTCGGAAGGCCTCCGGCCATCTGAGAAGTTCCCCCGAAGACACGAAACACTTTTCAGAAGGCACGAGGTTCCTGAGAAGCCCCACCGTTTTCTGAGAAGGCCCGCCTCTTCTCACTTCCCCCTGGGCTCGCCGTCTAGAAGTAGCAGTCTCGTACCCAATCGTTTGATCTATTCTGCTGGTGCTTCTTCGTTCGCCGATGTTCTAACTGTCGGCGTTCTCAGGTTTTTGTTCTGCCGATTTCCAGTCCGATTTCCTGTACCGCAGAGAAGAGTACATCATGCTTATAGGTGTTGTTTTGGAGTTGTTTTGATCGGCCCGTGCCGATGTTGTATTGCGTTCTCGTATGGAGCAGTTGTTTTAGACCACATGCATGTTATTCTCCAACTTCGCAGAAAGAAGAGGGATAGCGAGAGAGAGAGATAAGGATAGAGAGGGAGAGAGAGGGAGAGAGAGCGAATGTGGTGGGCAGACTGCCATAGATTGGCATGGCAGCAATTCGCAAGAGGATAGTTGGAGCATGTCATGTATACTGCATGTTCCCTCCCCTGATTGCTATACCTCTACCCCACCATGTAGCCATACTGTACCAACGTTGCACTTGCAGTCTAGACGCAGAGCTCCAGCTCCCCTGCGTGACCTGTTCGAGCGACCAGTATTCGAACGCTTGATGACGAGAGACTGGCCATACGAGCCAGTCAGACACCCACCACGTAAGATCTATCTAGTACAAACCGCCATGTTGCACCATCCTAGTGGAGCTTATTCTCGCGGTGATGCAGAACTGAGGCGAGACTCGCGCCGGCAACGCGAGAAGTGCCCTCACGGACGCAGCGGCTGCGCAAGGTGGTGCGGTGACCAGCGCGCTTGATTACAGCAGGACGAGGAGGGGGAGGAGGAGGAGGAGGAGGAGGAGGAGGAGGAGGAGGAGGAGAGGAGGAGGAGGAGGAGGCAGAGGAGGAGGAGGAGGAGGAGGAGGAGGAGGAGGAGGAGGAGGAGGAGAGGAGGAGGAGGAGGAGGGGGAGGAGGAGGAGGAGAGGAGGAGGAGGAGGAGGAGGAGGAGGAGGAGGAGGAGAGGAGGAGGAGGAGGAGGAGGAGGAGGAGGAGGAGGAGGAGGAGGAGGAGGAGGAGGAGGAGGAGCAGGAGCAGGAGCAGGAGGCCGAGGAGGAGGAGGAGGAGGAGGAGGGAGGAGGAGAAGGAAACGCTCCCTGGTGTTTCCCGCTCTCGCATCCGCGAATAACGCCGAATCCTCCTCCTCTTCCCTCCTCCCATCCGTCCTCCTCACTCCCTCCCTCTCTCTCCTCTCCTCTCTCCTCCTCCTCCTCCTCTCCTCTTCTCCTCCTCCTCCTCCTCCTCCTCCTCCTCCTCCTCCTCCTCCTCTCCTCCCTCCTCCTCCCTCCTCCCTCCCTCCCTCCCTCCTCCCTCATCCCTCCTCCCTCCTCCCCCTCCTGCCTCCTCCCTCCTCCCTCCTCCTCCATCCCTCCCTCCTCCCTCCTTCTCCCTCCTCCTCCTCCTCCTCCTCCTCCTCCTCCTCCTCTTCCTCTTCCTAGTCCTCCGTCTTGAAGCTTACGCCTCGAGCCTCCCTCCCAGCGCGCTTCCCGCGCTCGCATTTTTTCGGGCGCCCTTGTGCTGTAACTGTCAAACTGCTGGCCCCAGCTGTCTTGAAAGCTGGATTCGGATATCAGTCAGACAATCATCGGGTCGGGAGGATGGGGTTGAGACGTGAGGCTACACTTACCCGTGAGCGGCCGAAGATATCGTTCATTGCATCCGGATGCTATTGCTCATGCCCTTAATCCTCCCGACCCGTTCCTCCCAACACGATAATTGTTCTCCTCAGGATTGTGCCCGAGGCGGGATCTACTGATCCATGACCGCCGCCTGGTGGATCGATCTCCAGGGACCCCCCCCGCCCCCCCCTGGGGTCTTAGGGCTTCGGCTCCGCTGGCGGTGGATCTGGATACATCTCCGCCTGGCACGTTGTCTGCCGTCCTGCCCGCCTGCACTCGAATCGGAACAAACAACTGCACACATACAAAGACTGTCAGGGCTCCGCTCGCGGACTCCTTGGATCTGGGCTGGGCCCGCTGGCGGCGCCGCCCCTGGCTTGGCGTCGCTCGGACGTGTGCATTTGTTCTCGGCGAGAACCATCGAGGACCATTTGTTCCCAAAACCCTGCCCGAGCCCTCGCGGTCCCTGCTCGCGCGCCGCTCTCCCCGTGCGCTCCCGCCGGGAGGTCCTGAATGGGGGCGGCTGGCCCCCCGCGGCTCGCCGAGCCTGCGCCCTGACGCGGGCGCACCGCGCCCTCCCTGTATTATACCAGCCTGGAACAGATCCCTATCCCTATGCTGGGCACCTCCTCCTCACGGTGCCAATCTTAGGGATTCCCTTATTTTTGGAGGGCGGATCCCCAGGATTGTCATCGCCTTTGGGCGTATCGATCTTAGGGATAGGGATACGTTCGAGGCTGGTAAGTGTACTTGTTTCACCCTGTTGTTTCGGATGCAGCTCCTGGGAGGTCACATTCTGATTTTGCCCTGGTCCGAGTCAGGAGGGAACAAAAACACACAGGTACAATGAATCGTCGATTCCCGAAGAAAATGTGGGGAAATATGGGAAGGGGGGGAAGACAAACACCCAGACAATATAGGAAGATACAGGTAATCCTGTTATTTGTGTGTATTTATTTGTGTGTCCCAGGGCCTCTTCATCCTGGGAGGTCAAATTCTGATTTTGCCCTGGTCCGAAGTCCGGCTTATCCGGCTGAGTCCCGCCGAATCCGGCTCAATCCCGCTTGATCCGGCTTAGTCCCGCTTCATCCGAGGCCCTTTCCGGCGCAAGAGCTCCCCCACTGGGGCGTGATCCTCCTTACTCCTTCCGGCGAAGACCTCCCAGCAGTTGCCTCCTAAGTTTGTCCGCGGAGTGAGTTTCCGCATGCTGCCGCCACTGCTTGATCCAGGCTGAGCCCTCCTCTTCCTGCTGTCTACTTGTCGCGTCGCGCGGCGCGAAGCGTGAAGATAGGCGGCCTGGCTTCCTCCCTCCCGCCCTCCTCCCCTTCCCCTCTCCGTGTTACCTCTGCTCCTCTCCCAATCGACTTCCCTTCTTTGCGCTTCTTCCCCACCTAGGCTTCACTTCCTCTGAGTCCCCTCCTCAACTTCAATCCCTCACCCCGACCCTTCTATTGAGAGAGAGAGGGAGAGAGACAGGGAGAGAGAGAGAGAGAGAACAACAAAAAAACAAAGAGAGAGAGAGAGAGAGAGACCGATCCACCTTTATACGCGTATATTGTATGTCTGTGGCCGTCTCTCTCTCTCTCTCTCTCTCTTTCTCCCTCTCTTTATGTTTATATATATAGTTCCCCCACCGCATCTCCTGGATCCTTTGCCCTGCCTTCCGCTCTTTCCCATCCCCACCCCCGCTGCACCGCGCTCCCCACTTCTGCCCCTGCTTGCTGCGTCTGCATGCTCGAGCGCCCCCCCTTCTCCTGGCCCTCGCCGCTGGGCCTGCCACACCCGTGCGTCTCTTTTTGTCCCGCTCCCTCGCGTCACGTTGGCCTCATCCATGGCAGATTCGGGGGTGTGCGGGGGCAGACTGCAACTCCCCGCCCACTTCCACCCTACGAGATCTGCCGGGGCCGGACTCCGAAGGCGTGCGTCATCCTGTCTGCGCTGCACTTGCTTGTCGTTCTCTCCTGGTGCCCTTGTTCGGTTGCGCCTTCGCCATGTCCGTTTCCTTCTCGGAGCAATTGCTTCGCATCGTGTACGTTCATCTTTCTTGACCGATTGCTCACCAGCTCTTCAGTTCCCCCCCCCCCCCTGCGCTTGAGCGTGCGGGATTCGATTATGCCTGCACCGCGGAGTAGGGCTAATTAGGTAAAGGTTCCTGCCGGCGATCGCCGTAAACCTTTGAACCGACTTGTGGGCACGCTGGAATACCGTGCTAGCCTGCTGAAAAAGAGAGTGGGAGGTCAAGCCATCGGCAGGAGCATCCATCGGCAAGATGTGAGGCTGCGTGGAGAGGGCAAGTCGCTTCACTGCCCTGAGCGACGTTGGGAGGTTCTGAGTGGCGTCTGCACTCGGAGATGTTCAGCATGATGCTGTGGTAGAAATCCTTCAGCCATCACGACTTCGCTCTCAGCTGCGATGTTGCACTCCGTTGCGCCCACGACCATTATTTCCAACCGTGGCGGCCCAGACTCCGGGCTACAAAGGTAAGGGTGAGGATATTCCCAGATGCAGAAGCGAGATGTAGAGGGATAGCAGGAAGGCGGGCCACAGGAGGGATACATGTGTACGTGTACATAGACGAGAAGACGGACGGCAAGAGAGGACTGCGAGAGAGAGAGGGAGAGAGAGAGAGGGAAAGAGAGAGGCAGAGCGAAAAGGGAGGTAACATATTTATACATATATATGTATACTTATATATATGTGTGTATATATATACGTATAGAGAGACGGGGAAGAGAGCCATATAATCAGAGAGTGAGAGGCTACACATATGGGTGATACACCCGTGTATGTATGTACGTATGTTTGTATATATTTATGTATGTATGTATGGATGCATGGATGTATGTATGTATGGATGTATGGATGTATGGATGTATGGATGTATGGATGTGTGTATGTGTCTATTTATATGTTTACAGATGGGCTCTGTCCGGCATTTCGCGCGGTTTTCATTATGGTCGGGATCCTGCGGTGTGTTTCCCAAAAAAGCTCTTGGATTCTGGATGGATACGTGGCCCTGGTGGAGCTCCCACACC